TGTTATTGAATATGTCAATGCTGTTGTAATGAAATGCTTCTTCTAATTATATGGTTATTAAATAAATAATTTAAAAAAAGAATATTAAAGAAGAAAAAAGTAATTAGGTTTGCACAATTGACGAGCAAGATGGTCAGTGTAGGAGAAAAATGATTCAACTGCAAAACTCAAGGGTGTTAAATAAAACCCTGAAATATTAACTTTGGATTGTAATCATAAGCATAAATTCCTGACTCTTCTATCCTTTTGAAAGACAGATGTCTTAGTTCAGTCCATTATCAAGGTCAAGTGGCAATGAGAAAAAATAACACTATAGCACTGAAGGCTGGATGCTAGTATATAGTTATGGACTCTTAAGTTTTACCTGCAAAGACAAACCAAGGCTTGGAGAAATTCCAGGCTTGGGAAAGGGGGGTACAGAAGAAGGTCCTAGAGGCTGGAGGTGTACCTGTGTTGGTACAGTGCTTGCCTAGCATATGCAAAGTCCTGGGTTTGACCCAAATCAAGTACATACCTGTAATGCTAGCATTTGAGAGGTGGAGGCAGGAAGATCAGTTCAAGGTCATCCTTAGCTACATATTGAGGTCCAGGTCAGCCTGGGATATATGAGATCTTGTCTCAAACAACAAACAAACAAATATAAAAGTAGACTTTTGAAGCAGGGAGTGGTGGCGCACGCCTTTAATCCCAGCACTTGGGAAGCAGAGGCAAGCGGATCTCTGTGAGAGTTCAAGGCCAGCCTGGTCTACACAGTGTGTTCTAGGACAGCTGGGGCTACAGGGAGACCCTGTCTCAAAAGGCCAAAAAAAAAAATAGACTTTTGAAATAAGATCTATTTATAACTATATTAGATTTTGTCCTTTCAGTGTACCAATGTATATTTATTGACAATGAATTTCTACATTATTAAAAGACACATTACCTGTTGTCAATAATCATTACACAGGACTGTGGAATCCCCAAAACATCACAGCTTTGCAAAAGTTCTTTCTTACGAATCTCTCCTTGATTGTAGTAATTTCCTGAGGATAACAAATATAATGGTAAATTTCTTTTAACAGTAGAGACCTATTTATTCACTAGAGGATTTAGGCTATCTAAAAAATGTGTGATTAAAGAATATACATTTAATGTTAAGGCATTCCTTTTAGGAGACTATTAGCAGTATACCTTTTAGTATCACCATTTATAATGCCTATGTTTGTATGTAAGTATGTATGTATGTATGTATGTATCGTCTATCATCTATCATCTATCATCCATCATCTATCTATCTATCTATCTATCTATCTATCTATCTATCTATCTATCATCTATCTATCTATCATCTATCTATCTATGCAATGCATAGCATGAGTGAGACACTGGGTTTGATCTCCAGCCTCATCTTTACAGACATATAAGTATTCCCTATATATCTAACACTTATTTAAAGGATAAGTGTTACTATTGAGTATTATAAAAACATGTATAAACAGGGCACCATTTGGGAAAACATCCTCTTTTAAGAGTTTAGCAACCTTAAGCACTAGAACAAGTTTATATAAATTCTTATTTTCCTAACATATATACCATAGCCCCTAAGAACAGTTCTCTTCTGTAGCCTTACAAATAATAATTTTGGTATTATTTAAATTGCACACTCATTTTGAGCAGCTGCCTAACTAATGTACTCCCTAAGTAAAATTTCCAGAAAGTAATTGCATGTGTGGTTTGTGTACATTACTTAACTTCCCTGAGCCACAGTGTCTTTACTATGGGTGGATAAAGACTAATTCACAGGCTTGCTGGAGGCTTCCGTATTAAAGCACTCAATTAAGTTGTATGTTCTCTTTCCCTTTACTAAGTCTTTGTGGGTTCTTGCTGTGTAGTCCAGGGTGGCATTGAACCCATGTCCTCTTGTTTCAGGTAACCTCTTTATGTTCCCCCACCTCTTTGTTTTCTTCTTAAATTACAATTCATCTTCATCTTTATCATTCAGATCAAATGGCAAATGCCTTCTCCATTTTCTCTGGTATATAATCATTGGTTCTCTCCTTCTACTGTAGGTTCTTGGGATTGAACTTATGTCATTAGACTTTCATGGCAAAGTTTCCTACCTACTGAGCCATCTCAATGCCCCCATCTTGTCTTTTTTTTTTTTAAGATTTATTTTAGCTGGGCGTGGTGGTGCATGCCTTTAATCCCAGCACTTGGGAGGCAGAGGCAGGCAGATCTCTGTGGGTTTGAGGCCAGCCTAGTTCACATAGTTCCAAGACTGCTGAGGCTACAGGGAAACCCTGTCTCAAAAAGACCAAAAAAAAAGATTCATTTATTTTTATTTATGTGTATGTGTGTGTCCAGGCGCCCATGGAGGCCAGAAGAGGGTGTCGGATGCCCTGGAATTGGTATTACAGGTGATTGTGAGCTACCATCTGGGTGCTGGGAACTGAACCCAGGTCCTCTATAAGAACAGCCAGTGTTCTTAACTGCTAAGTCATCTCTGCAGGCCCCTGATTTTATCTTTTAAAAATGTTTTTGTTAATGTTTCATAATGTACACATTAGTTCAGTGATCTATTTGCTCAAAAATTATAAGTATACACAGCAGTATATACTCAAAAAATTTCACTAATAGGAGAAAGTAACCAAAAATGTTTGGAGATTATACTCGGAACCAGAAAAAAAAAGGTGGTGGTGGTAATTCACATAGGTTTCTAGTATTCTACTCCTAAGTATGATCTTTTCTCCATGACTATTAATTTCTCTTTGAAATCGACCTTAAAAGTTATAGTCTCGGTCCATTTTCTATCAACTTCAATATCCCACACAATGTAAGAATTTATGAAGGAGTAAAGAAAGAGAAGCTGTGCTTATTGCTGCAGGTAACTCAGAGAAATTACCACATAAGAGTTTCTTCAACTTTGGCCAGGGACAGCTTTGAACTGGGTGAACTCAGATAGTGTTACATTGTATCCAACAGGAGACTGACCCTAGAAGACTGTTGACAAGCTTTAATTTTTTTTTTTGTCTTTTTGAGACAAGGTCTTCTTGTAGCCTCAGCTGGCCTGGAGCTCCCTATGTAAACCTGGCTGGCTTTGAACCACAGAGATCTACCTGCCTCTGCCTTCCAAGGGCTGGGATTAAAGGAATGTGCCACCACGCCCAGCTTATTTTATCTCGCCTTTCTTTTTTATGTCAGTTTCTTTTGTAGAAATCAAAGGGAGCGGTTGGAAAGATGGCTCAGTAAGTAAAGTGCAAACACAAGAACAGACACAAAAGCTAGGTTTGGTAGTATACATATACCCATATTTTTCCAAGATTACTTTTTAAAAGATTTTAAATTAGGTATATGTATAGGTGTATGTGTTCGTGTGTGAGTATGTGTATAGGAGTGCACGTGCTCATGGAGGCCAGAGCCATCAGATCTCCTGGAGCTGGAGTTATAGTTGGCTCTGAGCTGGTGAACATGGGTGATGGGAGCTGAACTCAGATCCTCTGCAAGAGCAGTTTGTGCTCTTAACTGCTAAACTATCCTTCCAGCCCCAAATCTCTTGCTTCTTTGGTGAGAAAAAGTTCATTGTACATTAGTCTGTAATTATGATTGTGGGACACTGCTTAGAATTGAGGCCACTGTTTTATGGTGTAAGTTTTATTGCTTTGTGTTTGGATTAAGGAATTTATGACAGCCTAAGGAACTGAAGTCAGAGACCATTTGACCTATTTTCACGTTTAGTGATCATGGACAGAAACCATGTGTGAGCTCCTTCAGCAGCTTTTAACATACTGAAAAGCTATGTCCAGAGGATGGTACACCTTGGGAAGCAAAGATGAACTTCTGAGGTTGAGGTAAAAGCCTTAGAATGCCTCTTCTGTTGTTCATACCTTTTTTTTTTTTTTTTTTTTTGTCTTTTTGAGTCCCCAGCTGGACTGGAACTCACTACATGGACAAGACTGGCCTTGAACTCACAGAGTTCTGCCTGTCTCTGCCTCCCAATTGCTGGGACTACAGGTGTGCACCACCACACCCAGCTCAAAAATTTTATTTTTATTATAAGTGGGGTGTGTGTGTGCATGGAGGCTACAGGACAACTTTTCAGGAGTTGATTCTCTCCTTCCAGCGTGGGCTCAAGTCTTCAGGCTTCCATGGCAAAGGCTCTTTTATCTTCTGAGCCATCTCACTGGTTCTATACTGGTATTTTATTTTTTTCAATTTTTATTTATTTGTTTATTTTTCTTTCTTTTATGTGTTATCTGTGTTTGCCTGCATGTATGTAAGTGCACCATGTGTGTGCAATTTCTGTGGAGGTCAGAAGAGGGTATTGGATCTCTTAGAACTGGAGTTGCAGATGGCTGTTAACTACCACGTGGGTGGCTGGGAACTAAACCCTGGGTCTTCTGCAAGAGCAGCCAGTGCTCTTAACTGCTGAGCCATCTTTCCAGGCCCCTTTTTGTTCTTTTGAGACAGGGTCTCCCTGTAGCCCCAGCTGGCCTGGAACTCATTACAAAGATCAGGCTAACCTTGAACTCATGGGGATCTATCTGCCTCTGCCTCCAAAATGCTGGGATTAAAGGTGTGTGCTTTCACATTTCGCCTCCATGATGGTTAAAATGAGATGTGGACTGGGAGTCAAGGCATCATGTGTCATGGTCCAGACATCACTTGGTCACCTACATGGATTTGGACAAAGTCCTTAAATTACTGAATTTCAGGAATGCCAGCTAGGGTTTTCCTCAGATATGGCCAAGTAATTTTAAAATATATTTGGAAGAAAAAAAGGTCCAAGTTTCAACCATTAGAAAATGAGAGAATGATATTCTGTGTCCAGGTATATCCAGAATAACAGAAACCATATTGAATATATGAAACAGTAGGAATTTAATAGACATTTTCATGTGTAACTACCAGAGGACAAACAGGAAACAGTAAAGTGACCTACAGATCAGATAAAGCAAAAAATGACTACAAATTCTCAGCCTTCCAGCACTCAGAGGCTGAGGCAGAAGGAATGCCAGCAAGTATGGGGCCAGCCTGGACTACATAGTGAGTACCACACCAGTCTGGGCTGACAATAAAATAACAAATGTCCAAAAGCACATGAAAAGGCACATTACCAATGGTTACTAGGAAATGCAAACTAAAACCGTAATGCGCTATCACTTAATACCCACCAGGATGGGTGTCATTCTAAAATGCAAAGTTACAAGCACTGATGAAGATACAGAGAAGCTAGAACTGTAGCACATTACTGGAAGGAACATAAAATGATACAACTGCTATAGGAAATAGTTTTGTCAGTTATTCAAAAATTTAAACACAGAATTACAATCTAATTCAATGATTATATTCACAAGAACATACCCAAAAGAATTATAAACTGTTATTCCAACAGCACATCAGTGTTTATAGAAGCATTATTCACAATAGCTAAAAAGTAGAAAAATCCAAGTGTGCATCAATAGATGAATGACTAAACAAAATGTGGTACACACAGACAAAAAAACATTATTCAGTCATAAGAAGAAAAAAAGTAGGGCTTGGATATTGCTCAGTAGTAGAATACTTGTCTAGCACATGTACGGCCCTGCCTTCAATCCCTAGTACTAAAACTCCTGCCACCCCCAAAAAGGAATAAAGAAGCTGGGCATGGTGGCATAGGCTCATAATCCCAGTACTTAGGAAGCTGAGGTAGGAGGACTGTGGGTCTGAGGCCATCCTGGGCCACATACTGAGTTTGAAGCCAGTCTAGGCTACATAGTGAGATTCTGATACAAAGTTCTAAAACATGCTACAATATTGATGATCTTTAAAAACATTATGGTAATCAATGTCATACATAAAATAATAATGATTGCATGACTGATTCCATTTATATAAGGCACTTAAGTAGTCAAACGCACAGAAACATAGAGTTGTAGTTGCAGAGGCTAGAGGAAGAAAGGAGTGGGGAGCTATTGCTTAATGGGTTACAGAGTTTCTCTGGGATGATGAAATAGAGGCGATGGTTATGCAATCTTGTGAATGTATTTACTACTACTGCACT